TATTTAATATTTTTACTATCTATTTTTTGCTTAAGAAAAGCAAAGCATATGTGGTTTGTATAAACTTTATTTTGTACTTTAAAAATGCTTTGCATAAACTGAATAGTTTGTGAAATTTGCTAATAAATGCTGCAGTTAAAGCAGTCTCTTAGCTCTGCTATAAATGTGAAAAGTGAGTATTTCTAACCAACTTACCACCTTTAAAGCTGATTTAAAGATGGACTTTGTTCATGATTTTATTGATCTGATTGAAGTTTGAGGTTTAATTATTTTCTATTATTGGCATCTAGAGAAAGACTTTGGGTTTCAGTCACTTTTGTGTCTCCAGTTGTTTTAAGGCTCTAATGGCCTTTATTCATTAGCAGCTCAACGGGGGAAGGGCAAACATGCAGCCTGTCCATAAAACACACCTGATCTACCACTGAGCCGCTTTGTTGGGATTTTCTGTCACATTATGAGGAATCTCTGCAGAAATTAAACATCCCATGTGTTATTGTGGACACCCTCAGTTTGTTATGCCTCGTTTCTCACTAAACCTCCTTCACCAGATGTCCATCAATCACTCAGAGCTAGAGGGACTTCTCCAGTGTGTGTGTGTGTGTGTATTATCCCCTTTAATTATTGGACTCAGCTGTGCAAGAATCATTCAGCCTCAGGCAGGAGTTGACACCACGTCTGAACATCCTTGTTTCTCTCTTTTCTCACCACATAAAAACCGAAACAATAATGTAATTCTAAAAATATACACCAATATGAATCACATTAAGCAGAGAAACATGCATGGAGGGCTGATTTAGAAACCACCGGTCCAACCTTTTACACCACATGTGTCAAACATGAGGTTCAGGGGCCAAATTTTACTCTACGCTTCCTGCCCGATCATGACCTCTTGACCCCTGATGTGATGCTTTTGGTCAGTAGAATCAAGGCCTGTAACGTACTAAATGATATCATTCTGCAGCTTGACACAGATTCTGGCCAGAAGCTTCTTCTTCTGTGGTGTCAGAGAAACATGGAGGTGTTGAGCTGCAGAGGGAGAGACTTATTAGGACTTTAGTTCCTGTGAAGCATGAAATGTCCCGGCCAGAAATAACTCTGCTCTCCTTCGTTTTGGCCTTTAGGCTTTTGTTTCACGCAGAATTACCGGTTCCACAAAAACGTGTGAGAATTTAATTTAGTTGTGACTTGACTGATGTCCTAGTTCAAGTAGAGCTGGGCGATGAAACGATAACATATATGATGGGGAATAAATGTATCGGCTAAGAGAAGTGCCTGTGTTGTTTCAGATGTGCTTGTGCGTCTGATTTGTGTGCGTACCGGAAACACAACACAAAGGTTCCTGCCTGGGATTTTTGTGTGTAAAAAAAAAAAAATAACTATAAGAAATTAATACTGTTCACCATTTTAACAGGTTAGAAATCGATGTAATTATTTGTGTCCATAAGTGTCCATAAGATAAAATTCAGTTCAAAAATACTTTATTGATCCCAAAGAGAAATTAAATGTTGTAACTCATTTTAATTCAAATTTTTACGTACTTTTAAATAGTAGAGGCTAAAAATATGGAATTAAAAGTCAGTAATATCAGATAATTACTGTTAATTGCCATATTTAAAAAAACAACAATAAAAATTCAGTTAATTCAAGCACATTTGACAGAGTAAATAAAATAATCAGAAAATCCATTAAAATAGGCAATTAAGCAAATTAAAAAAGAACAAATTAAGTTAAAAAAAAAGTTCTTCCAGACGTAAAAACGTACTGTACTCTTGAAGCAGTTTGTGCCGTTTTGTATTTTTAAAAACTTGAAGTGAAACAGATTAAGCAGCGTATCTGTGCTGCTGCTTTTCATCACATTTATTAGCTCCAGTTTGCAGCTTATTTCTCCTGGTGTTCTCTTTCACTGGCTTCAGTTACTGCAGTCCCTCGTCTGCCTGATCATCAGATAGAAAGCTCCGTAATGCTTCGCTGTTTTTCTCCCCGGGGAAGATGGCTAAGTGCTCCACAGCCCCGCCTCCCCACAACTCACCCACCATGCTGACATTTCCTTACTGGCCACCGGGTCGCTTTTGTGCTTCAAGGGACGCAACAGCAGCAAACATCAGGCTGTTATTTATTGTTTTGCTCTGAAGATGCTGGAAAAAGGGAGGAGATGACCAAGAAACTCATGGAACTGTGAAATGAGGCATCAAAATTATGGGCGTTTTGTCACAAAATGGGTTAAATACTATGACAACATATTAGGATCATTGTTGACAAAAAACAACAAAAAAGGGAGTAAATTTCCACAAGAAAAAATAATAATAAAAAGGAGATTAAACTAAAAACAATTCTTGCAAATACAAGGAAATATCTGAGTTTAAAAAGTCAAAATTTTTGCTAGAAAAAAAGTCAGAAATTCTGAGATTAATCTCAGATATTTTACTTAAAAGATGTGGACATTTCAGGGTTTCAGAAGTAGAATCTTTTGAGTTTTGAAACTTCAAAATTTTGAGATGAATCTCAGAAAATTTTTGGAGAACCAAGAAATGTTTCAGGATGTAAAACGTCAAAAAGATTCCTAGAAAAAACTCAGAAATTTTCCAGAAAAAACTTGGACATTTCTAAATGTTTCTGTTATATTTGAACCTTTTCAAACTCAAAAATTTCTAAGTTTGTTTTCTAGAAATTTTTCAAGATTAATCAAAAAAAATATTTTTTTTTTTACTTTTTTTTTTTTTTTTAGCAAATTTTTAACTTTTCAAACTCAAACATTTCCATGTTTTTGGTCATAAATTCACTCCTTTTTTTCTAAGTACATTGGCCGTAATATGCTGTCATAAAATTCAGCTTATCCACTGAGCTTTAACGATGTTATCCTTCTTTTGCTGCAAGAAGCATAACCAGAAAAGACCTTATTGTATTAATAAACCTTTACTTTCTATAAAACCTGCTCCAACATCAGAAAAGCTGTTATATTTGTAATTTTCATGTCTTGTGAAAGTTTTGATATAAATGAGGATGTAGCAGGTCAGAAGGTGATGTGTGTTCAATATTTGCATTTAAAATAATCTGTCCCTTCCCCCATTTGGCCTGCATTTGACAGGAATTGGTAAAAATATAGGATTTAATTCCCAGTGGGCCCCACCATGCATAAAACACACGTTCCCCCCGCTGGAAGAAGCAGCACGTTTTTCAGTCCTGCTAACCTCAAAGAACAAACAGAGACTGTAGTTTTTTTTTCTCTCCAAAAATGTATTAAAATTTAATGACGCCCTCAACACACTTATGGGACCCATCATAAATAAAGATGCACAGATACAGGATTTTTAAATTACAACGACTAGCCATTCGCTTAAAGGACAAATATAAAGTAAAATTCACATTGTGCATGTTTTTGTTCTACTAAAGTATTTACTGCTTAAAAATAACAACCAGCCGTGTTTTGGCAATAAAAACGGCTGGTTTTTATTGCCAAACAATAAATTAAAGATTTATTGTCTGGAAAATGAGCCATTTCAAAAAACAATGCAAAGTAATCAGCAGGCACTTCCCTGTTACCCAGCAACCCCAGCAGAGCTCCACTTGTTACCTAGCAACCCCAGGAGAGCTCCACTCGTTACCTAGCAACCCAAACCGAGCTCAGATTTTAAGCTAGAATAAATTAAATATACTCGCGTTACTGAAAAATAGATTTGGGCGACATGGCCTAAGAAGTTTATCATGATATATTTTGGTACTATTGAGATAATAATAATAAAAATTATTAAATAAATATTTATTCTTTTTAACGTAACTATATGGCTGTGAATGCATGGCAGCATTAATAGGTACACACTGCTTTTGGAAAACATTTCCATTTGAAATTAGCTTCTTTATGACACCAATTACTTAAAAAAAAGTGGTTTATATCACAAAGTAACTGTATTTATTAAGTGTTTCCAGTTTACAGATGTAAACGATGGAGAGAAAAGTAAAAAATAACATCAACCTTTTGTAATTTAAGTGAAATCGTTTAATTTCGTTGCTTATCTTTCAGAATCATTTTCTGACAGTAGTTACTGTTGGTTGTTTAATATTAATGAAACCTAATACAAATTGAATGTGATTAAATAGGTTGTTATTATCATATAATATAAATGGTTTACTAAGTCAAAATGACAGCGATTTCCTTCCAGGTGGGAAATGTTTGGGCTCATCCGGTCCTGTTTTTTAAAATTCAGAGTTTAGCTCTGAATTTTTCCATGACTGCATGGAAACTGATGAACATCGGTTTTTTGTTGAAGTTATTTTCATCGCTCCGTTTTTAGCTGTCAGAGGACGCATCACTCCCCTCCATGTTTTTAACAAACATCAGAGAGATTTTATTTTTAGCGAAGCTGCGCTCTTTGATGCTTACATTTAGAAACTCTCCCATCTTAATGGACAAGAATCACCGTTTGTATTAGGACTGTGGGTCTTTATTTGAGGCTCATTTTTAAACTGTGAATCTTTAGTGAATGTTTCTGTGTATTTTTTATATTTTTTATCTGGTCGAGGTTAAATCCGAAGTTAGCAGGTGTTTGATATTAACAGCTTCTTACCTGAGGAAGTGGAGCGTCCATTACTTCTACATATTTTGACTCAAGTGACAGTAAAAAAGGTAACAAGTACTGAAGCAGCCGATCATCATATCTGATGTAATCTGTGAAAATAATGTCATCAAACAGATACAAACATAACATTATGTGCAAATACTGGTATTCTAAAATAAATATTAGAAAACTATGATGAGTGTTAAGGTAAAAAAATGAGTTATGTGAATAAAATCATACATTAATGAAGTAAAAATAATACAATAATAAATTAGTATTATGAATAAAGTTGTAAAAATGAGAAAAGGGTCTCCTGTGTTTCTGTTACATCTGAAGCAAATAATTAAAGTTCATAAATGCTCCTTAAAATGTGTTTTCTTTAAATGATGCAGTATATGTGTGTGGTTGTGGCCTGTGATGATGACTCTGACCCTCGGTGTGCCGCAGGGCGTCGTGCGCGATGGCTAATGCCTCTCCGGACCTGGACAATGCAGAAGCCCAGCGCCAGCTCAACAACAACAACCGACCAATCGGCTCCGGGTTCTGGGAGACCGAGTGCACCAGCGCCAAACTGTTCGAGTGCTCCCGCATCAAGGCTCTGGCAGGTCAGAGGTCAAACACACCCCTCACTGTCCGTACACGTACATCAGAAAACCTCTGGGCGGATAATTCTGATTCTTTAAATATCTGATCAAAACCAAATTATTATAAGTAAAATACCGACAGACATTATGGATTTATGTATCATTTGGTTTAAAACAGAGCTGGACAAGATGGCTGAAAACTTATCACAATAAAAGCGTTTCATATTGATCTATATCAATAATTATTGATTCGTTTTTTTTGTTTTGTTTTAAATATCCAAAAAACAGCCAGACTGGTGGCGCTATTGTTCCTGTTTTATCCAGTTTTCACTTTATGAAGTAGATTTTTTTTATTTGTAAGCAGTTTTGAGGCACAGTTGGAAAACTTTAAACTGTCTGTCACCCAGCAGGCGGTTGCTAGGCAACCAAAGAGCTAGTGAGTTAGTTGATTCCACCAACCTAGCTTAGCAAGCAGCTAAAGTCTTTCCTCAACATTTCCCAGAATGCTTGGCGGTTCTGGATAGGAGTTCAGTGAATGTTCTATCTAACTTTGTTACTGGTTTATTGTCCAGGTCCAATTTAAAATATTTTAACCTTAAAGAGATGGTGGAACTGGTGGAAGATCTCAATTTGATAAATACAGAGCATTATAAATATGACATGATCATGATTTGGGCTTGTTTTGCAGCCACCAGGTAGTTACAAATTAAGTTAGTGTAGCGGCCTAGTCAAATCAAATCGGCCTGATTGAAATGCAGAAACAGGATTCCATCTGATACAGGATCACTGGAGGCTTCAGCTGCTTTTGGTGCCTCTGGGATTTTGGAGTGTTTTTCTTTTTCTTTACTCTGTTTGCTAATTTAGTTTTCATGACAGAAATTAAGACGTTTCATTTGTTTTTTTGTTTTTATGAAATCATTGAACTTGTATTAATTGTATTTCATTAATTTAAAGCTTTTTATTCAAACTTTTAAAACTAGATTTGTTTGAAAATAGTGATTCCCATTTAAAATCCCCTCCCATTGACGAGTTCCTCTCTCATTCATTAGATGAGAGAGATGCAGTGCAGAAGAAAACCTTCACAAAGTGGGTCAACTCCCACCTGGCCAGAGTGTCCTGTCGCATATCTGACCTCTACAACGACCTTCGGGATGGCTACATGCTCACCAGACTGCTGGAGGTTCTCAGTGGGGAGCTGCTGGTAAGAACGCTAACGCTAACGCAGCAATGCTTTGTCACCTTTTAGTCTCTCATAAGTAAATGTTAGATTATAGCTTCATTATAACACAGTCATCCTTTTCTGATCTTTATGTTTTAAATCAGTTTAAAATGTCTAATACATTATAATCAGCAGTGGTGGACACACTTCAGCTAATACGCTAGTAGTGTAGCTAATGTTTCGTTTAGCGCACTTAGCTTAGCATAAATTATTTTTTTCCATATAAATTCTAAACTTCCAGTTGAATAAAGTTCAACATGTCTAGGTTTTGGCCATTGACTGTTAAGAAATCTTTAAGTAATTTATATTCATGCTCTTAATTTGAAGACAGTTTATGCAGCAGTTCCATTTCCTCTCCTCCACATCTGTTTTAGTTGCAAATATATATAAATAGCGCTTTAGCATTAGCTGGACCAAAGTTCATGATCAGAGCTTTACGGTTAGAGCAGACAGATGGTTGGTATCAAAATGACTGAGGTTAGCATTTTAGCTTCAACTAAATATTATGTTGGTGTAGCGCTTTGCATTAGCTTGGTGCCCAGGGCTGATAACAGAATGTGGTGACTGAATATAAGTTGATTAAATGTTTTAAAAATCAGCGTTGGTGTTTGATTAGCTACAGTAGTGGCGTTGCAGCGATAATAGTCCCAGTTAGGCGACAGTGAGGTGGTGATGAGTCCTTCTGTTCTTCCGTAGCCGAGACCAACGAGGGGTCGTATGCGGATCCACAGCCTGGAAAACGTGGACAAAGCTCTGCAGTTCCTGAAGGAGCAGAGAGTTCATTTGGAAAACGTCGGTTCCCACGACATTGTGGATGGAAACCATCGCCTCACGCTCGGCCTCATCTGGACCATCATTCTTCGCTTTCAGGTAAATTTCAAACTCATCAAAAACTCTCGAAGCTGATCCGCTTTATTTGAAAAATGAGTTCAGGAAAGTCAGGTTGACATGCCTGTTCGATGATTCATTGAGGACCGGCGTAAGAACAGCAGGTAGAGGTGGATATCCAACGTTAGGTTAAATAAAAGTGTTGAATCTAATGGCAGACCACATTGTTCAGTCTTCTTGATGAAGTTTCTCCAGAGCTTTGGGGAAAGAGGTTCCACATGTTTGAAAGAGAAGCTTGACTTTAACTAGACCTCTATCCTTGGAGTGTTGCTGTTCGCTTTATTGATTCTTGAAGCCATGTGTCTGGTATTCTGTGGAGGAACTGCTTTCAGAGGTTGCCTGGTCTCTGTGTCTGCAGGTTGAACCCGTTTCTGGTTGTCGGGACTCTGTCATGGCGGGTCATTGTCTTTTATTTTGTTTGTGGGTTAATGGACTAAAGGACCCTGAACAGCCAAAATCCTCTCATTGTTTCAGATGATGAAAATCACATCATGTTGTTCTCAGCCTCATGTCAACATTCTGACGGAAAGTGGCTACATGTTAGCTTAAATATGGTGTAATTTTCCCATTAACCTGAAAGTTGTTTGATTTAAAATCTCATAGTTACTTCAAAAATTGTATATTTTTCATCTAAGGAGGTCACCATTTCACTTCCTTAACGCCTGTCGACTGATGATGCAGGAAGGCTCAACTACAGCCTACAAATGAAACACAATAAGTCAGTGTTGTGGAGGCTAACATAACGCCTACGAAACATCTGGACTGAGACAAACTGCCTCAGAGTTTTCATGTAACATTAAACTAGAGATATCTGTTGAAACAAATAGACTTGATTAGCTTGTGATCTACTGCTCACTATATTAGCTAGGGCTAACACAAAGCTAACACCATTAGCAAAAGCTCATGCCATTAGTAGGAGCCAACACTATTAGCATGAGCTAAAATCATTAGAAAGAGTTAATCCCGTTAGCAGGAGCTAACGTGGATCAAAACAAATGGCAAGATAATAAATGGATGTTTTAAGTGACATCCAAGCATCTTGTTGTCCTTGTAACAAACCGTTCTCATTTATTTGATAACATGTTTTTATCCTGATGCTAGCTGTAAACACCCTGAGGTAGAAGCTGGAGTTCCTTTCGGGTTGCTATTTCCAAACAGCAACTTTTTCAGCTGCCTCACTTTCAAATTGAAAGAGCTGAATGTTACTCACTGCATAAAAATCACTGCTCTGAGTGAACAGAGCTAGCTAGCGCCGTACCACCTAGCATGCTTATATATTGGACCATGAACCACACAGTAATGTCTGTGACTATTTTATTTTAATTTATAAAAACTAAACGGCATCCAAAGTAAATTGTTCTCAAATAAAGTCTGTTTTTAGAAGTCATGAAATCATGAATCCCTTTAAAAAGCTCCAGGATGTGAGTGTTGGAAATGTCTTCCTGTTTGCTCCTCTTAAAGGGGCAGTAGTTTATAAAATGGATTTTTAATGTTATTCCCTCATCAAAACATACCTGGAGTGTTGCTTTGATTCTTTCATGTAATCATCATGGTAACCATTCAGCTGGGTGGACTTGGCTCCGCCTTCAAGGACGAAGCTCCTCCCCCACTGAGCTCCTTCAGACTAGCCAGCAGCAATTAGCAAACACCTGGTGGAACTGCTGAGCTTGTTACAGGAAACGCTGGTAAAAACATTAAAGGGTTAATAGCGGAGCCATGTTGTGATGAGTTCCTGAAGGCGGAGCTTCAGAAAGAGCAGGAGTTTTTAAAGAGACAGAGGCCCAATTTCAAGGCGTTTAGTAAAGAACTAAAATTTATTTTAAATTATGTTTGATATTTTAGGTGTTTTTATAGAACTTAATATTTACTTGATTGTGCTACAAAATTTGAACTATTTTACTTAAATAATTAAAATAGTTACCTTAAGATTTTGCAAGTACATGACTATTTGTGCAATAAAGAGCCTTTCTGGTTTTCCTGGATGCTCGGCTCTTTTGTCTTGAGGATAAATGGTCTGATGTCTGACTGGTATATAATCAGCAGTAGATTATTATTTCTGGTGCGCTCTGAGCGTCTCGGTTTGGGGAAAGCGATCCCGGCTGCTGCGTCGTGTTTGTGCGACAGTGACGGCCATGTTTGGTTCAGCCTGAATGTCACTCAGGAGCCCAGAGCTACTGCAGCAGCCGGCTTCTGGTGTGTGAGTACAAAGAGCCTCCAGCTTCCCTTACGTTTGCTTCACTGCTACAGCGTTGCTTTACTGCACAGTGCTTGCTTAGCAATATTCGGCCCGTTCTGTAGATTTCACAGAGAACGGACCGACTCTGGGGACGCAGCATTGTCATGCTCGGAGAGGCTACTTGCACCTCTAAGAGAATTACTGTGCTGTTAACGTGTGTTGCCTCTGTAGCCCAGGGCACTGAGGACGAGATGAATGGTGTGTGTGGGCTGTTGAACAACAGATCCTGCTCTTCACGAAGGAAACCTTTGAATTTCTGTTTCTTTAGTGCCGTTTCTTATCAGAGCAAAAAGTTTGGTTCTGATTAGAAATGAGACGGACATGCTGGACCAGAAACTGTCAAATGTAAAAAAAAAAAAAGAAAAAATAATAAGAAAAAAAATCACTATTTTAGGAGACTAGTTCAATGCTAAATGAAATATTTATACAGCATAAATGATTAAATTTATCATGCTAACAGAGAGGTTTGGTAGATGTTCAGGTCTAAGGGTTGCTCACATATTGTCTGAAATCCTTTCTTGACATTTTTCAGTTAACCTTCGTTATGTTACCATCTGAAAGATTTCCTGGTTCTGATATTACCTGCAATGGTAGCAAAACCTTAACAGAGGTATTTTAAAGAGTTCAATGCTTTTCAACGTTTATATACGTTATAATTCTGTCAGTTGATATATAGATTATGCTATCAATATAAAATACATCTAGCTACAAAACTAGATGGATCTCACTAGCAAGCTGTCATTACGTTTTTAGTAAGATTCCCTGTTATTTACATTAAATAAATGTTTTAGCTCAAAGTTATGTGACATTTTCCTGTGAACAACAAAAGGAGGACGAGCTCTCAGCCGCCATGTGGCTTTTCATGCTGCACTTTCCCCTCCTCTCATCTCCACCGCTTTCCCTCCTGCCTCTGAGGTGAAAGACAGAGTTTGCTTTGCCAGGTCAGCAGATCGGGCCAAAGCACTGCAGTGACTGCAGACAGGCAGAACCAGGGCGAGACAGACAGGCAGAACCAGAGCGAGACAGAACCAGGGCGAGACAGACAGGCAGAACCAGGGCGAGACAGAACCAGGGCGAGACAGACAGGCAGAACCAGGGCGAGACAGAACCAGGGC